GCTAAATGGACATAGCAAATAAAGGATGACTTAATTCTATACCCACAGGTCAGCCCCTCGTCAGAGAAGTTGCTTCTGGCAGTAGATGGTAATTAACAGAGACCCACAACTGGAGACTGTGCAGAGAATAAGAGACCTCAGAACGCTCAGCCTCCCCTCAAGGCCCAGGGATCTATGTGTAAGAGAGGATGGAAAGATTTGCAAGGGTTTGAGGTGCTGGTTAACTTCAAGGAGGTCTTCCAGACACAACAAGGCAGATGCACATGAATGAATACTGTGTTATCGGGTACAAGATCTGTACAAACTCAAGCCAGACAAAATCCAGCTTGGAGGAAGGGAGATGGGCGCGCAGTCCCACCCCTGCCTAAGGAGCTGTTGGCGTTTAATTGCTTCTAGGAGAGCAAAGTCAGTTTTCTTCAATGGAGAGACCTGGTGTGTTGGTCACACTTCAGGGCAGGTCTGAAGTCCAGGAGCTGGACTTGGCATTTTGTTTTAAGAGAGAGAGAGAATACAAAAATTGTGAGGAGCTGGGATAAGGGAAATTCTTAATAAATATTATTAAAAACATCAACAAACAAACAAACAAATAAAAACAAAACACACCAAAACAAAAACAAGGAAAACCAATGTGTGTGTGTGTGTGCATGCAACACAAAATATCACATCCTTATAGACACAGGCCCTCAGAAAGGCTGAGCTGAAAGTCAATATAAACGAGAAACTCCCTACTACCATCCACAGAGGATTAGACACAGCCCTTCCAAGTAAGACTCATTTGCATTGCATATCTATTGGCATCAGTATGACCCAATTGTGAAACCCCAAAGACAGAGAAAGACGAAGGTGGCAAGGAAGAGAACACTAGGACCAGATCAGCCAGGATTTTTTTTTTTTTTTTTTTTTTGAAACAGGGTCTCATTATATAGCCTTGGCTGTTCAGGAATCTGCTATGTAGACCAGGCTAGCCTTGAGCTCACAGAGATCCGCCTGACTCTGCCTCCTAAATGCTGGGATTAAAGGCATGTGCTACCAGGAATTAGCATATATGAGCAGGAGGATGCCTGTACTAGGCAGCCATTTTTTTTCGTTAAAGGTTTATTTTTAAAGATTGATTTATTTATTATGTATGAGTGCTCTATCTGCATGTACACCTGCATGCCGGAAGTTGTGAGTCACCATGTGGTTGTTGGGAATTGAACTCGGGGACTCTGGAAGAGCAGACAGTGTTCTTAACTGCTGAGCCATCTCTCCAGCCCTAAAAGGTTTGTTTTTAATCTTGTGTACGTATCTATGTGGAGGTGCCTGAGCACAGGAAAGGTGTCAGAGTTTTGTAAGTTGTGCTAGCACAGAGGTCCAGCCTTCCGAAAAAAGCAGCAAGCACTCATAAGCACTTGAGCCAATTCTCCAGCTCAGCCTTGAACTTCTGAACCTCTTGCCTCCACCAACTGCTTGAGCTGCTGCACCTGGCTTATGGAAGGCTGGCAATTGAACCCCAGGACTTCCTGTCTGCTCAGCAACGACTAACTAAGCTACATTCCCAGGCTCCTGAGTAGAAGGGCTGCCCTTGAGTAGAAGACCTCACGGCTCCGAGGAAGAGTCTTCCAATTGTTCAGAGGCACTTGCTGGACCTAAGAGCTCAGACTTTATGTTATGACAGAAAATGCAAGTTTAGCTAGGTGTGGTGCACAGCTTTAATCCCAGCATTCTGGGAGGCAGAGGCAGGCAGATCTCTATGAGGCAAGCCTAGTCTATAAAGTGAATTCAGGGCAGCCAGGGCTACACAGAGAAACCCTGCCTGGAAAAAAAGAAAGGAGAAAGAGAAGGAGGAGGAGGAGGAAATGCAAGTTTGGGCTTCAATGCTAAGTGTTCAGCCAAAACCCCAAACCACCATGTAAGCCTGCGAAGCAAAAGATGTCTGAATTCTGGAAATCGGTTTCATGTGGGGTGAAAGTGTTGAAATGTTAAACAGAATGGGGAAGGTTACACGGGTTTGAGCTAGAGGCTAGATTCAGAGTGGGTGCGACTTCACAGAATCCCCAGGGAGTGGGATCCTCTAACAGCGAAGGGGATAGGGGTGACGTGAGGGGACACGCTACACAGATGGCGCCAGAGATGCTGCTTACTGTGGACTAAAGTTGCTCCCACGGCTGCTTCCCATTGGCTGAACACTGAGCTAGAAACTGAAATAACAGTCTACACAGCGCCCCCTTCTGGAAAAACCGGAGTAGGAAAACGTAGAAAAACTTGACAACGGCCTTTTCAGGCTCCTTGACTGGGGAAGCACATCTAAGAGCCAAAGACTTAGATTGTTACTCGCACAATTATTTTGTGTACCATTAAAATGTTGCCAACTACACTGACCAATGCTGACAAGTCGTAGCTGAGCACTTTGATGTTTTAATAGGAAGATGCATGTTCGTGTGTGTGTGCTCGCGTGCGCGCGGAGGTGGAAGCAGCATTGAGTGTCATCTTAAGAAACTGTCCACTTCCTTTGAAACAAAGGCTCTTCTTTGGTCTAGACCTCACCAGTTAGGGTAGGCTGGCTGCCCAGTAAGCTTCAGGGATCTTCCTGTCTCCAGGTCCCCGGCACAGGGACTATAAACATCCAGCACCATATCTGGCTTGATAAACATTTATTTGTTTATTGTTTTTATATGATCGGGAGTGCCACAGCACACATGTGGAGGTCAGAGGACAACTTTGTGGAGTTGGTTCTCTCTTTCCTGGTTACTGTGGGTTCCAAGGACCAAACTCTCAGGTTGTTAGGCTTGTGTGGCAGTCCTCTGTCTGCTAAAGTCATCTCACTGGTCTCCATCTCCATGCATGGCTTTGGACATGGATCCCAGAAATCTAATTCAGGTCTTCATGCTTACCAATGGGGCCACACCCCAGCCCTGCATCTTGGAGTGTGCTTTTCTTTTCCTTCCTTCCTTCCTTCCTTCCTTCCTTCCTTCCTTCCTTCCTTCCTTTTTTCCTTCCTTTCTTTCTGTGTGTGTTTTAAACACAGGTCTTACTGTGTAGCCTTGGGTAACCTCAAACTCCATAGCAATCCTCTTGCTTCAGCAGTCTGGATGCTGGTACTACAGGCATACGCTACTTTTTTCTTTTCTTTTCTTTTCTTTTCTTTTCTTTTTTTAAGAGAGGGTTTCTCTGTGTAGCCCTGGCTGGCCTGGAATTCACTCTGCAGACCAGGCTGGCCTCAAACTTAGAGATCCACCTGCCTCTACCTCCTAAGTGCTGGGATTAAAGGTGTGCTCCACCATGCTCAGCAAAGTGTGCTGTTTGCTGTGTGATTTCTTTTTTCAGTCTGTAGACTGAACCCAGAGCCTTGTTCATTCTAGGCGAATGCACTACAGCTGAGCTATAGGTCAACAGCTTTGAATTCTGAACTTTGACTTTACCATCTTGAATTAAGGACAGTCACACTACATGGGGTTTTGGTGTGGTTTAAATCAGCTAAGATGCTTATGACTGTTAACTTCTATTTACTTATTTTAATTTTATTTGTGTGTATGACATTTTGTCTGCATGTATGTCTGTGTGCCATGAACATGCCTGGTATCCATGAAGGCCAGAGGAGGACACTGGAGTTACAGAGATGATTCTAAGTTGCCATTTAGGAGGTGGAGATTAAAGCTGGGTCTTTTGGAAAAGCAGCCAGCATTCTTAACTGCTCAGGCATCTTTCTAGTCCTATTTTAAATTAAATTAAATTAATTGAGACAGGGTCTTACTAGGTAACCTTGGCTGGCTTGGAACTTACAAAGATTTGTCTGCCTCTGCCTCCTCCATGATAGGATTAAAGATTTGCATCACCATGGGATGCTTACGTGCTTTTTTTTTTTTTTTTAGACAGTGTTTCTCTGTGTAGCCCTGGTATCCTGGAACTCATTCTGTAGAGCAGGCTGGGCTGGAACTCAAAAACATGTCTGCCTCTGTCTCTCAAATGCTGGGATTAAAGGCCAGCCCCATTACTGTCCAGCTGAAATGCTTTATTTATTTATTTATGAATAAATAAATACTTAATTATTTATTAGAGGGGCTCGGGCCCAGGGGCAGAGCACTTGTCTAGCATTCACAAAGCCCTGGGTTCAATTCCCAGTACCTAAAGAAAGTTCCGGGAGGGGGCCACGTGGGTGAATCTCTGGTGAAGACTGTGTGGGATAACTAGTTCACACAAAGTAAGTTGTAAACTGAAACTTAAAGGGAGGAGAGCAATGGCTGTGAATGAAGCTGGCATTGAAGGAGGTTGAATTTGGCAGGTGCGAACGAACGTGATGCAAAACAAAAGAGCAACTATCTACCAAGCCCTTTCTTTCGTGTCCTGATGTTATTCCCGTTTCACGAGAGGGACTGAGGCCGAGTATGCAGGTGAAGGGGTTTCCCCAAAGTGAAAACAAGGAAGCAAAAGTAAGGCAAGTGTGTGTGTGGTTAAAACCAGAAATCCAGAGATGTGATAGAAACACTCGCACAGAACAAGTATAAGGTGAGGTATGCACAAATGAGCCTATGGAAATAGTTGTCAGCCTGGTGAGATAAATTTGAACAGCAATTGAAACGATCTTTGCAAGAGTAATTCCAATTTAGGAAATAGTCATGAGATGAAACCCCCCGTCTCATCCAGCCACAATCTCTCCGCAGAGGGATGACTTATCTATCAGGCCGCTGGCTGGTCGGGACTCTAGGATGTAGCCCAGACACTGGGGCAAGGCTGGCCACATCATTAATAGGCAGTCACCTATGACTCAAGAGCCTTTCTGCCAGTCCAGGCCACGCCCCACTACGCAGAAACTTGCTGAGCCGCACGCTCACCTTCGCCAATAGGTAACGAGCGCCTCCCACTGGCCATCCGCATCTACGCAACTCAGCCCCATTTCCTCCCCTGCTCAGTGCAGGGCGGATGCTCCTCCCTCTTCGCCCCGCCCACCCCGGGCACGCCGGATTCTCGCGACATCTGCCTAGCGGCTGCCGGGATCTCGCGATAAAAGCTTAGTGTCTCGCGCGAGCGTGCCTAGCAGGCGGCTTTTGGGCAGCTGTGGCCAGGGAAGAGGAGTTGCATGTGTCGCTTCAGCTGGCGGGAGCGGAGGCGGCGGGGACTGTGCGGCCGGCTGGGTAACGAGCGCTCACGCCTCTGAGGCTTCTGAGGAGCTGGTAGAGCGCGTAAGGGCAGCCGAGGCGCTGCCTAAAGGAAGGGGGCCGGGCCGAGCGTCTCCACGCCCGCCCACATGGGGGCCTCCTGTGGCGTCCCCGGAACCTCCCCTTAGCCTCAGCCCTCCAATGGGCTACTTGCCCTTTTCCTGGTCCTTCTGTCCCGATTTTATCTCCCAAGGCCTTGGCACTTACATCCTCGTCCCTGGCTCGGTCTCCTTTGGTATTTTGCTGTCGCCCCACGTTGCATTCTGGTCACCTCGAGTGACTCGCCCCCGTCCTGCCGAGATGTCTGTAGCCTTTACTGCAATTTGCATCCCTCCTATATCAACCTCAGACCTGCCCTGTCTCTATTGAAGTCACACACCCCAACTATTACCTACCCCCCCCCCGCGCTCTTTCTCTTTTTGCCCTCGGTCCAGCTCTTAGCCTTCATGGCCCATGTATTCTTGCTTCCCTTGTAAGTCTGTGGAGCAGGTAGATAAGCCTACAATTGCTCCTTTTGTGAATCTAGTGAGACTTGTGTTTTTTAAAATAGAATTGAAACAGCTTTGGGTTTCAGGGATGCAGAGTGGAAGCTAATCCTGTACCCCAATGCTGCTTTTTGGGGTGGAGTTACCAGACAGTGAAGCTGTGTTGTTTTGTTTCCAGGTTTGTGAGATGGCTACTGACATTTCTGAATCCAGTGGTGCTGCTGATTGCAAAGGCGATCCGAGGAACAGTGCCAAGTTAGATACGGACTACCCTCTTCGAGTTCTTTATTGTGGAGGCAAGTGTTAGAAGGAAAAAGGAATGTCTCGTGCTCACTGTCTTTACACCTAATGTTGATGGTTCACATTTGGTCCCCCAACTGTCTTTGTGGTTTGCTGGATTCTTAATAGAAGAGGGGGTTCCTAGTAAGGACAGGTTGACAGATATTCCTTCTTTTCTGAGTCATTTGGGTCTTGCTTCCTTGCCTGGAGGAGTTTACAGTCCAGTTGGAATAGAGTTTTGTGAGTAGATTATCACAGCCTGATGTGAACTACGCTGTTACGGAGAGCTTCTTGGGAGATAGGGAGTCTTAATGAGAGTGAGTGAAGTATGGAAGAAGTGAGAAAGGGCATCCTAAAGGAAGTGAGGTGTTGAGGAGGAGGCAGGGCCTGGAGATGTTGCTTAGTGGCAGAGCACTTGTCCAGAAAATTCAGAGCCTCTAGGTTCAGTCCCTGTACTGGGGTGAGGAGGCGTTCTGGGGGGGGCTTGATGTCTAACTAGAATCTTGAGCAATTTTATTTATTTATTATTACGTTTTAATTTTATTTGTCCATGTGTGCACTTGTGCCACGATCCATTTGTGGATGTCAAGGACCATTTGTGGACCTTAGTTCTGTCTACCATGTGGATCCTAAGGATTGAACTCTGGCCCTCAGACTTGTTATCAGGTGCTTTAAACCCTTGAGCAACTTTGAATTCTTTTTTAGTTTTTCAAGACAGGGTTTCTCTGTGTAGCCTTGGCTGTCATGGAACTCACTCTGTAGACCAGGGTGGTCTTGAACTCTCAAGAAATAGGCCTGCCTCAGCCTCCCAAGTGGTGGGATTAAGAGCTTGTGCCACCACTGTGTGCCTGGCTTGAATTCTTAAAGTATATGGAGGGTGTTGGTTAAAAGTAGAGAAGATGAGGTCAGAGTGATGTGTAGTGGAACAGACTTGGGCAAGTCTAGTTTGAATAATATGGTTAGGTTTTATGTGTGTGTTTGTGTGTGGACGTATATGCACATGATGCCAGAGGTTAGATGGCTACCTTGATCATACTCCACCATGTTTTTGAGAAAGGGTCTCTCACTGAATCTGGTGCTCACTAATGAGCTACACTGGCTGGCTAACAAGCACTGTGGGTTTTTGGCCTTTTCAGTGTTGGGACTTAGCTTCTGTGCCTCGGTGCTGGCTTTTACATGGACGCTGAGGTTGCTGGGGGATCCTGACTCAACTTCAAGACAGGATTTCTCTGTGTAGCCTTGGCTGTCCTGGAGTGCTGGGATTATAGGTGTGCATCACCGTGCCCAGCTGACTCAACTCTTGGCTTATGTGGCAAGTACTTTAATAAGACTAAGGCATCTTCCAGCTCCAGACTTTTTCTTCAGACAGGATCTCTATGTAGCCCTGTCCTGAACTCACTCTGTAGACCAGGCTGGCCTCAAACACAGAGATCCACTTGCTTCTGCTTCTTGAGTGCTGGGATTAAAGTTGTGCACCACCACTGCTTGGCTCTGCCTAGACTTTTTAATAAAACAAGGTTGGAGTTTAGTGAGAAACAGGCTTTTTTTTTTTTTTTTTCTCTTTTGCATACCCACCCCCAATCACCAAGGAAAGCTTGGGACAGGTTCTCTCCAGTCATCATTCACTTGGTCTTTTTATTGTTTTTGTTGTTATTGGTTATTTTTGAGACAGAGACTCACTTTGTAGCCTCGGCTACCTTGGAATTTGAAGATCTGCTCAGAGTGTGTTGATTTAAAGGTATATGCTACCATGCCTAGCTGCAGCTACTTTTTTTTTAATGGGTTTGTGTATGTTGCCTGAGTGTGTGTATGTGCACCACATGTGTGCAGGAACTCATGGAGATTAGAAGAGGTCATTGGATCTCTTGGAACTGGAGTGACAGGTGGACTAAGCTACCATATGAGTGCTAGGAATCAAACTTGGGTCTTTGTAAGAACAGTAAGGTCTCTTAAGCGCTGACCATCTCTCTAGCCCCCACCCTTTGTTCTTTTAAACAAGCTTGATTAAGTTTATTGTGTGTTTATTAACTATGTGGTAGCTGTAGTCAAATCCTCGATCCTATGCATAAAGATTCCGGTCTGAGTTTTCACAAGATAGTCTGTAAGTTTTTGATAAGGAGATTTTAATGAATGCAGTCTCTTTCCAGAGAGTCAAGTAGCTGTGGGTCCTTGTAGTTATCAGAGGTGGCCTTGGGCAAGTTGGTCAGGTGGTTGTGTAGTCCCTGACTGAAGGATAGTGGTCATCATTAAAACTGGCCACTGGTTCCAGCTCTTTGGACATAGGAGCCAAGACACAGCTGCCATTGTCCTTTATGATGGAGATGAGATAAACCAGTACAAAGCTACAGCAGCCTGTCATCTTATATGAGCTGTGTAGTTCTTGTACCTAGGTAACCTCTGCACAGGGATGGTGGAAAGCTTGGCCAAAATGACAGTTCCTTGGATGGCAATGGCTACTTCCTTGGAGCTTTTAACCTCCAGACCAGGGTGATTGTTGTGGTCTCCAGTGGTAATAAATGCCTTGAATCTGTTGGGCCTTTGTGATGGCTCAGCAGGTAGAGGCACTTGCTATGAACCATTACAACCTGAGTTGGAACCCTTGGTCCCACATTGTGGAAGTAATACACCTACCCTGAAAGTAGGCCATGGTACATGTACCTATGTACACACATAATAAGCTAATAAAGATTAAGCAGGGCATGGTGGCTCAGGCCTGTATTTCTAGCACTTGGGAGGTGGAGAGGGGAAGGTTTGCAAGATTGAGGCCAGCTTGGGCTACAGAGTAAGACCCTGTCTTCAAAAAAAACATGGAGCACACCTTTATTCCCAGCACCCAGGAGGCAGAGGCAGGCACATCTCTTGAGTTTGAGGCCTTGCTTGTGTTTTTAAAAATTTTTTTTTTTTTTAATGGGTGTAGATGGGTGTTTTGCCTATGTGTCTGTCTGTGCAGCACTTGCATGTCTGGTGCTCACAGAGGCCAGAAAAGGACATTGGACCCTTCAGAACTGGAGTTAACAGGTGGTTCTGGGAGTCGAAACCCTATCCCTTGGAAGAGAAGTGCTCTTACCCATTGAGCTATTTCTTTAGCCCCTGGATTTACTTTATTTCTGTTTATGTGTATATATTCGTGAGTGGTGTCTACAGCTTGTTGTATGTGCTTTTAACCACTTTCCAGTCCATTTGTGTCACCTTTAAAAAAAAAAAAAGGTATTTTGTTTGTTTTTGTTTTTGAGACAGGGTTTGCTGTGTCACCTTGTCTGGTCAAGAACTCATAATGTATGCTGGGCTGGCCTCTGCTTCCTACCTGCTGGGATTAAAGGTGTGAATCACCACTCTCTACTAAATTAAAATTAAAAAAAAAAAAAAAAAGGCTCGAATCCTAGGCTGTCCTTGAGCTTGCTGTGTAGATGAGGATGACCTTGAACTTCTGATCATCCTATTCTGATACTGAGTGCTGCTTCTGGCTGTGTGCCACCGTGCCTAGTTTATGGAGTGTTAGGAATTGAGCCCAGGGTTTCCAGAAAAAATAATAAACTGACCTACAATGCTAGACTGTATGTATGTCACTTCTAAGTTGGCTTTTGAAAGGGTGACACTATTCATTCTGTCCCACTGACGAGCAGTTCCTAACCTTTTGTTGCTGTTGTTTATTTTAATATTATTTTGTGTATGTAAAAGAGTAGAGCTCAGGATTCCAGTAATTGAACTCAGATAATCAGGCTTAGACAGATTGAAAGTCAACGATAAGATGTGTTTTCTGTGGCCCTAGGCTTAGTAAACCAGGTCTGTAGGGCAGAGGCTACCAAAAGATGCACTTATAGTCCAACTGTAGCATGTGATGATAGGCTTCATTAGCCAACTGGGTAGGAAGGTGCAATGGCATTCTTTTCCCCCATGACATGGTTTCTCTTTGTAGTAGCTCCAGCTGTCTTAGACATGCTTTGTGGATCAGGCTAGCCTTGAACTCACAGAGATCCTCCTGCCTCTGCCTTCTGAGTGCTGGGATTAAAGGTGTGTGCCATTACCACCCATGTGCAGTGGCATTCTGAATAGGGCCCATGTCACAGTGAATCTGTGGCGACAGTATACTTGCCTAAGATATTGCACTAGATTATGAAAAGGTTGTAAAATAGCAAGGCTCTGCTTGTTCTCTGCGAGTAACAACTGAGTAGTTGTTAGTGTTTGGTGGGGGAGGGGCACATAGGTGTAATTGGTAGCAGAGGGAGACAGATACACATCTGGGACAGTCACAAATGGTGGTGTGGAAAGGGGGAGAGAGGGTCTTTGAGTTGTAGAGTCAGGAGAGACTGTAGAGGTGAACACAGGAATTTGGAGGGAAGGTAGTGTTCTGAAGGGCAGATATGCTAGGCCAAAGAGCAGCAAGAGACGTAGGAAAGGACGAGGAATGTAAATTTGCAATACCTGCAAAGCTACAATGTTTGGATCTTCAGAGTAGAAGCGGGAAATTGAAAGACAGTGGTGTCTGGGATCAGAGTGTCAGGACTTGTTCTTAGCTGTTGTATACATCACTGAAGGTTTTTGAACAAAGAAGCTGTCTTCTCACATAGCTTCACGTCTGGCAGCAGGGTAAAAAGCTGGAGGAAGCAAACTTAGTGACTAGCCTATAGTAAGATTTAGTCAGAATTTAGCAGGGGTTTAGAAGAGTCGAGATACGGTGTTAAGCATTTGTAGTCCCAGCTGCTCAGGAGACTGAGGCAGGATCAGTTGAGACCAGGAATTCCAGCCTAGCCTGAGCAGCAGTTTTTTATTTTTGAAGTCTGTGTTTTGCCACAGTTGTGAGTGCCCACAGAGGCCAGAAGAGGGTGTCAGATCTGGAGCTAGAGTTACAGATGGTATGAGCCACTGATGGAGGAGCTGGGACCTTACATTTTTGCAAGAGCAGCAGGTGTGCTAAAGTGCTGAGCCACCTCTCCACCCCTGGAGAAAGGCAAGTTAGAGGAGACTGCTCTCATCTCTCAGCTGGAGATTTAGCAGGGATTCAGAGAACAGCTTCAATTTATTTAGAAAACATGTTTTGGGTTTCTGCTTTATGTCATTGTAGTTTACTCAGAGACATGAGTAAGATGTAATTGTCTTGAGGAAGCTCTCATCTTAACTAAAAACAAACACAGATAAGTTATTAAATGCTAAAGGTTTTCTATTACATTAACTGACAGTTGTCTTTAGATCAAAATGTCAGAATACTGTCGTTTGAAATAATCCTGTAACTTTTATCTCCGAAACCTCTGCAGAGCAGTATTTGAAAGGTGAGTGGTACAAGGTGGTGCACGCTTGTACTCTCAGCACTGGGGAGGCTTCGGTAGGAAGGCTGTGGAGTGTAAAGCTAGCATGTGCTTCCTGACTGATACTCCATATTCTTGGAAGGTTTCGAGAGGGAAAGCCCTCAAGTAGAATATTTGATTGACATGTAGGAGAGGTGATAACACATATGTGTCTTTTAAAAAGAACAAAATGAAACACTAGAAGGAAAAAAAAGTATTCTGTCAGATAAAAAGTAGTTTTGAGTCTCATGTTTTCATGGTTTTAATATTTCACATTTTTTTTTCTCTCCATTTCTCTAGTCTGTTCATTACCAACAGAGGTAAGTTCTACTTATTAGGTTTTTTGTTCTCTTCTGCGTGTGAGATCATTCTTGACTTTAGAGTTATTAAGCTAAGAGCTGCTGTTTTTCATTTCCTATCATTTGATAGTGTTTCAACCTTCTGTAGAGAATTTTGGATCAGAATACTTAGTTGTGTGTGTGTGTGTGTGTGCGCGCGCGCGCGCGCGTACGTACATTTGCGTGCCTTAAAGGTTTATGTGTGTATTTTTATTTAATGTGCATGTGCCTACAAGAGTTATTTCCATCGTGTGTAAACAGTGCTCCCAGGTCAAAGAATGCAGTGGATCCACTAGAACTGGCATTACAGGTGATTAGGGCCGACTGGTAGGTGCTAGGATCTGAACATAGGTCCTCTGTGAGATCTGTAAATACTCTTTAACTGCTAAGCATCTTTCCAGCCCCACCTGTACATCTTTTTTGTACTTGTATGTTTTAGATTTTTGTATGGAATTGATGAGTAGTCAGATGGGAGCAAAAGTAACCTGAGAGCCAAGATTTACACGCCTAAGCAGAAGAAGAATGAGGAGTAGAAATTGTGTAGAAGACTTTCCTTCCCTCAAGCTCTGTGGACAAGTCAGGAAAATAATGAGGGCCTTTTGTGGCCAAAGCAAGAAACTTTTTTTGTGACTCCCCTCTCCCCTTCCCTCCTGTTTCTCAGACTAGGTGGCCTCACTGTATGGTTTATGACCTTGACCTCACAGTCCTCCGGCCTGATCCTCTTGATTGTCATGCTTACAGAGAGTATATAATTTATCCATTAGTTGTGTAGGGAGTATGGATGGTTTTTAATGCAATTGTATTGATTGAAATGCATGATTTCTCACATAATTGTTCTTTTCCTTCCCTTCTAGTACTGTGAATATATGCCTGATGTTGCTAAATGTAGACAGTGGTTAGAGAAGAATTTTCCAAATGAGTTTGCAAAACTGACTGTAGGTATGAACTTTTTCCTTTTTTGAACATAGGTTTTTTTTTTTGTTTTTGTTTTTTTTTTAATTAAAATTGTATTACTGAAACAAATACATGGTGGGGCATTTTAAACATAAAAAGTTTAGCTGGACCTGGAGATGGAGGCCTGCTGTTCCAGTTGTGTGGTAGGCTGAGGTTGGAGAGTGATGTCAAGGCCAGGGCAAGCCTGGGCAGCTTAAGAGACCCTGTCTCTTAAAGTAAAAGAGAGTTGTGGATGTAACTTAGTGGTGAGGTGCCTACTTATCACGTGCAGAGTCCTGGTTCAGTGTGTGTGTGAGTGTGTGTATGTGTGTGTGTGTGAGTGTGAGTGTGAGTGTGAAAGTCCTTTTACAAGATATTATGAAGTTCACCAATCTGGGTTAACTTTTTTCTTTGAGACAGGGTTTCTCTGTGTAGCCTTGGGTGTCCTGGACTTGCTTTGTAGACCAGGCTTGCCTGGAACTCACAGAGATCTGTCTGCCTCTGCCTCGCTGAGTGCAAGGATTACAGGTGTGTGCCACTATGCCGGCTAATCTTGGTTAACTTTAAAACTAACGAGAGAAAATAGATCTTTGTATCGGTTGATAAAAGAGTGAATAATTTAGGGGATATATCTATTATCTATATATTTGTTTACAATTTTTTTGTTTGTTTTTTGAGAAGGGGTATCACTATGTATCCTTAGCTGGCATTGAACTCACAGATCTACCTCCCTCTGTTTTTGGAATGTTGGGATTAAGTCATACTCTACCACAATTGGCTATATTCACATTTATTAAAAGCATATATATGCTGTATGCTGTTTGAGGATCTGAAGACAAAGCAGTGGAAACGAATTCTTGAAGGGGAGACAAATCAAGTAATTATACAGATATTGGTAAGCAGAAAGGGGGAAAAATGATAATTGCTTCAGGCTGTCAGGATGGCTCATGGGTAATGGTGCTTGCTACATAAACCTGGGTACCTGAGTTTCCCTGGAACACATAAAGATGGAAGGAGAGAACCAACTCCATACAGTTGTCCTCTAACCTACTTATTTAGACTTATTTAGGGAAGTTGGGCAGAGAATACAGGCCTATAATCTCAAGTGACTGAAATAAGGAGATTGACACCTGACATCAGGGCAAATTCATGGCCAGCCTGGGTAACGATCAGTTCAAAGATCCTTGTCTCAGTGATGACAATGGCAATAACTTGGCTTTGAATGGCAACAGTGGCTAAAAACTGGTGGTAAGAACTGGTCTGTTTTAAAGAGAATGTTGAATGTGAGGAAGATGAAGAGGAACATGTAGGGCTTAGGTTCAGGCATCTCAGTGGGGTTGGAGGTGCTGGGCTGTCACAGACGGGAGGAACAGATCCCTTAGTGCCTTTGATAGCTGTTCCTAAGGTTGGTTAAAATAAAGGCAGTAGCAGAACAAGGAAAAGTCTAGGCCTAAAACAGGCAGAATCCACTCTAATACATCCCGTGTTGCCCTTATCTTTGCTGTTCAGTTTTCATATTTCCATAAGAGAAAAAACCCTTGTCCTTGGTAAGGCCTTTGACGATGATAGCTACTTACTTAGTCACTCTTTTTGGACAAGGACACTTAAGGCTGGTCTTATAATTACCCTCTGCATTTTTAGTCTTCAACATCTGGACCTTTGAAGGATACATAACCAGACTACCACTTATGAGATACTTTAGAGTTCAATTTCGAGTGTAGTATAGCCATTTGCTTTCTGGATACTACTAATATTCAGCTAGTATGGGATGCTTCACTTATGAGGTTGCTCAGAGGTGAATTTTAAAAAACATTTAGTGGGGTGTGTGTCTGTCTGTCTTTGTAGGTCAGAAGACAACTTGTGAGAGCTGAACTCTTCCCAATATGGGTTCCAGGGAACAAATTCATGTTGTAAAGCTTTGAAGCAAGTGCCTTATCCACTGAGCTGCCTGGACATCCCTGTTTCGTTTTGTTTTGAGACAGTTCTCTTGTAGTCCAGGCTAGCTTCAAACTTGTTACAAAACTAAAGATGTCCTTGAACTTTGTTTTTTGTTTTTGATTTGGGTTTTAATTAGCAGTTTATTACTAGAGTTTATTGGGAAAGACAGAAGGAAACACAAATGTAGCAGACACAGGAAAAAAAAAAAAAAAAACCTCAGCAAAGCAGAGTGGGGACTTTTCCCACTTTTAAAGCCTCTGGAGCATTTTCTTACCCTAATTGAGGGTTGGTCAGTTTGAAGAAAACGAGGATACTTGGGTGGCCCAGAACTGTTGGCTTGTCCTGAGCAGGCCTTGAATTTCTTGAACCAGTCCAGCAGCAGCAGGCTGCTGGTGGGGATGAAGCGTACAAAGCCTTTTTTTTTTTTTTTTAAGTTTCCAGGCAATTGTCTCAAATCTGGAGGATGAGGAGGAAACTGGCCATCTTGGATATTTCTACCTTTATTACCCAGACATGGCCTCTCTTTCCTGTCTGTCTGTCTGTCTACCACAGAGTCTGCCCAACTCCTAATCTCTCCCCCCACCCCATACACACCAGAGGTCACTCTAATTGTTCGTAGGGGGCTTGGGGTCAGGATGATGGGGGCAGCAGTCAAGAGTGCCTCATAGGGCAGTCTGTCTAAGGGGCTATATTAAAACTTAACCAGTGGCAATGGCTTAGAGCATAAGACACCCTTATAGTCATGGTGTGTATTTTTGGAGCTTGTCATAGGAGTGAGTTAGCATCTGTAGCATAAAATGTGAGGCTGTTAGTAAGTAAGCTGTAATTCCAGCTTAGAGTGTAGTTGAAAAAATAGCTAGGACAGGTTTACCCTTATCAGAGGAAGAGAACAGGTAAGAAAACCACCTGAGTAATTCTTGGAAGGCTCTGTCATAGATATCAATGAGACTCATGACTTCTCTGCCACCTTTGTCAACCATAAGAGGTACACTATTGGGGAGGCCATCTGTCAGGTTTAAGAGTTCAAGGAGTAAGTGGTCATGATGGTGCACACCTTTAATCCTAGCTCTTGGAAAGCAGAAGCTGGTGGAGCCCTGAGTTTGAGGCCATCCTGGTCTACATTTGTGAATTACAGGACAACCGGTATAACCTTGTCTCAGAGACCATAACAAACTGTATGTTATAAACCAGTTTAGGCTTGTAAGTCGGCCATTGAGTTTCTTTTATTTTAACCTCATTGGAAACATTAAGGTACAAGGATAATGAGGAAATATTTTTGACATGTTTAATGTAAGTATTGTTTAATAAGATGAGGCATAATTTTGTAGCTGGCTGGACTGTCTAGCAGAAACATTAGAATTCTGTAGAAGGCCTATTGTCAGTGTCTTACCAGTAAGAGATGCCTCTGTTAGTGGTTCTCAAAAAAAAAAAAAAAATCTAACCCAAGTCCCCCAAAATGATACAGTCTAGGGGTTTTGATCAGGTTATTTTTTCCACCAGTTAAATTAAAAAAAAAAAAAGGAAAAAACTGGTAGCAGTAGAGAAATCTCAAGCACTATAGACAACCAGCAGTTGTAGAATAGCATTTATTGGGGGTGAGGAAACACGTCAGCAGACACACTCAGAAAGCCAAAATATCCTGGCCTTGCATTGCTGATACTCTGCCTTTACCTCAGTGCTGGAACTAAAGTGGGGGTAGGACCCAGGGCTCTGCATTCAGGCCAGAGCTCTTCAGCCCTAGCCACATCTTCAGTGGGTGATTGATTCCTTCTTCTTTTTTTTTTTAATATTAATATAAAATGATATTCATGCTCTTGCATTTCATTTTTATATCCAGAAAATTCACCCAAACAAGAAGCTGGAATTAGTGAAGGCCAAGGACCTGTAGGGGAAGAGGAGGAGAAGAAAAAACAGAAGAGAGGTAAGGCCTAAGCCCAGGTTTGATTTCTACAAACACCTTTCCTTTATAGAAGACAGGTGGGTTGATGAGGGCTCCAACGTGAAGAATTTCTGCGTGTTAGCATGAGCTAGGTGTGGTAGTTCATGCTTGTATTTGAGAGACTTAAGGCCAGAGGACTGCTGGGAATTCAAGGCCAGCCTCAGCTACATAATGAAACTCTGTCTCAAAAAGAGCAAAAACTAACTGGTGATGGTGGCACACACTTTCTATCCCAGCACTTAGGAGGCAGAGGTAGATGGGTGTCTGTGAGTTCCAGGACAGCCAGAAATATGTAGAGAAATATTGTCTCAAAAGGAAAAATTAAAATTTACTCAGAATGTATGTGAGTTTACCCTATGTGCATTTAAAATGTAACTAGCCTGCTAAAGGTTCCTTTCTGTTGAAGGAACTTCCTTTCTGTTACTTACAACTAAGTTTCTCTTCTCTAAAACAGATGATTTATGCTGTGGCACCCATCCCCTGCCCATCTCTTCATTACTTTGTGACTAAAATCAGCTTATAATTTTTTAAGAGTTATTTTTATTTTATATGTATGGGTGTTTTGCCCATGGAAGATAAGACAGTAGGAGTCAGATCTCTGGAAATGGAGTTACAGGTGGTTGTTAGCAGTCATGTGAGTTCCAGTAGCCAAACCTGGGTCATCTTTAAAAACAGCAAGTGTGCTTAACTGCCGAGCCATTTTTCCAGCCCCAAATTTTAAATATTTTAAAGATTTTGCCTTTCCCTGTTTCCCCTTCTCTTCCTCCCCACCCCCAACCTCCTCCAGTGCTGAGCATTGAACCTTAAAAAAAAAAAAAAAAGAACTCTGCCAAGAGTTTTTTGCTATTTTCTCCTTACTTTTCTCAAGTGTGTGTGTGTGTGTGTGTGTATGTATTTATTTATTTTGGTTTTTTGAGACAGCTTCTCTGTGTAGCCCTGTCTGTCCTGGAATTCTGTAGACCAGGCTGGCCTCAAATTCCCAGAGATCTGCCCGCCTCTGCCTCCCAGAGTGCTGGGATTACAGGCAGTAAGTGCCGCTATGCCCTGCTTCTCATCTGTTCTTAGACAGAGGTCTTTACTAAAATTGATTCACCTCCTTTCCCCACATCTGTCTCTTAACTGTTCACTCCATTCTGTCTAAACCTGGCTTTTACCTTACTGAAACTGTTGTGGTAGCAGTCACAAAGTGTCTTGGTATTTGCTAAGTGGAAAGAATGCATGAGCCTTTCTGAAGTGTGAATTTCTCTGGTTTGCCTGTGTGTGTAGACTTCTCTTCTTCTTTATGGCTATTAAAAGTAACTTTCCAGACCCTGTCCTAGATCCTCTTACCTTCTCGTTCTGTTTATTCTCTTAGGATGTTTCTGTCATACCTCTAACTTGTGCTATACTATATACCTATAATTCCTAAGTCTATTCCTCTGTACCTGGCCCATGTCTGGCTGGAAATGTGCTTGGTCCCCACAGATACCACAAATGAAGCATTTCCAAAATTAAATCGACTGAGTGAGTCCTTTCATTTCTCCCATTTTGGCAGAGATAGCACAGTAGTCCTGTCATATGAGCTGGAAACCTGAAAACTGTGTTGGACTCTGCTCCCTTTAAATAGTCCTAAAATCTGTTCTTTCTCTTCTTGCTCTGTACTCTAGCGGCTGTTACCGACGCTGCATTTGGTTTATATGTTGATTAGTGTTTGCTGGGGTTTGCAAGAACTGCATTTGTCTGTCTTTCCACCTTACTCTTCATAGAGCCTACCCTTCTCACTAGAGTTGACATGGTCCTCAAAACCTTGAATCCATTCTTCAGTCTCTCTCTTCAATGACTTTGCTTTGCCCAGTGTAGTCACGCCCAAGTTTTGCTCCAGTTCTTTACTGACTTCTAACTAAGCCTTCTCCAATAAGACAGCATGCTTCCTCAATGTAATGTCTTGACTGAATGTATGTGTGTCTCGTACCTGTCCAGCCATTTGTCGTCACATAAACATTCCCCTGCTCCTTAACACTCACTTTAGAGGGCACTTCCTTTCAGAAACATTTCCTTTCTTTTTTTTTTTTAATTTTATTTGTTTATTGCACTGGGCAGTGGTGGCTCACACTTTTAATCCCAGTGCTCGGGAGGCAGATGGATCTCTGAGTTTCAAGATAGCCTGGACTACACAGAGAAACCCTTTTACAAAAAACCAAAACAATATATATTTATTGTGTATGGAAGATGGTGTGCACATGTGTGTCAGTGAGAGGAAACAGTTTTTCTTTGTATCACATGGATTCTGGAATTGAACTCAGGTCTTCAGGCTTGACAGCAGGCACCTTTACTGGATGACACATCCACAGGCCACTAAGACTTGGTCGTACTAAGTAGCCTGGGCTGACCTTGAAATGAGTACTGCTACTGTAGGCCTGTACCACCATGTCTGCTTTAATACCCCACCACCACCACCACTCACTTTAATAGATTGTGAGTCTGGAGGATAGGAACTGCCCTTTATCTGCACCCTCAGTTCTTAGTGCGGTACCAGGCACATAGTAGGTACTAATTGATAAGTGTTTATTGGATAAGTAGCCTGGGTGATTTTGTATTTAGAACAGAAACTTAAAAATAAAAGACTCAGTATTGTGTAGTGTTTTATAACTGAAGAAGAAAACAATTGATGTGCATTCTTTCTTAAGGTGGAAGAGGTCAAATAAAGCAGAAGAAGAAGACAGTTCCACAGAAGGTCACGATAGCCAAAATCCCCAGAGCAAAGAAAAAATACGTAACAAGAGTGTGTGGCCTTGCAACTTTTGGTGAGTTGAGGTTTTAGTTTGTTTACAGTCCTGGAAGTCTGTCTGTATCATGTAACCCATGTTTCTGCTGTCTACTTGATTTTGTGGTGTTGGGGGAGCAGCATCCCCAGCAGCCATGTATCTGTTTATGCCAAGAAGGTACTAACAGAGGTTTTGCATTTCTTTCTGGTTTTATTTGTTTTGCTTTTATTTATTTTACATGTATGGGTGTTTCACCTACATGCATGTCTGTGCACCGTGTATCTGCCTGGTGCTTACAGATTACAGAGGCCAGAAGAGGATGCTGGATTCCCTGGAACTAGAGTTACAGATGGTTGTGAGTGACCATGTGGATGCTGGGAACTGGACCCAGAGCCTCTATGAGAACAGCCATTGCTCTTACCTGCTAAGCCATCTGTCTTTCTTGCCCCTCTAGATTCTTTCCGTATTTTGTTTTTTAATTTTTTAAATTTATTTTCTTTTATTTTATGTGCATTGGTATGAGGGTGTCGTATAACTTGGAACTGGAGTTATAGACAGTTGGGAGCTGTAGTGTGGACACTGGGAATTGTACCCAGGTCTTCCGAAAGAGCAGACAGTACTCTTAACCACTGAGCCATCTCTCCAGCCCCCCTCCCTTTTTTTTAAGACAGGTCTTGCTCTGTAGCCAGGCTAGCCTGGAATGGTTGGGCAGTTCAGGCAGTCCATCCACCTTATTTTCTAGTTGTTGCATGTGCTATGTTCAGCACAAGGTTCTTTTTTGTTTGTTTTGTTTTGTCTTTGTTGTTGTTACTTTGTTTTCCATAAAGGCAGGGTTATCAGGTGTGGTGGTACACCCCTTTAATCCTCTCACTTGGGAGGCAGAAGCAAGCATATGCCAGTCTGGTCTACATAGTGAAACTTTGCCTCAAAAAAAAGAAAAGAGTGAGTGGAGCTCTTATCTCCCAGGCTGACTCTGCTAGTAGTGAAGGATGACCTGAGCTTCTGATCCTGCTTCCACCTTGAGTACTGGTTTATAGGAGTGTATCACCCTGCCTAGTTTATGTGGTCCACTGCTGGAGATAGAAGTGAGGGCCTCACAAATACTAGGCAAGGACTCCTTACTCAGTGAATCTGTAGCCCTAGGTTTTTCATTTCTAACTGTAGCTTTTGAATTAACATTTAAAGTCTTTTGTAGAAGACACTAGTACATCCCCCATCACCACCACCTTCTTTTGAGTATTTTGCTTGGTTTTGCTATTTCTGGTGTTGTTGCTGTAGTTGTTTTTGTTTTGTTTTGAGACAAGGTTTCCCTGTGCAGCTCTGGCTGTCCTGGACTTGCTCTGTAGTCCGTTCTGGCCTTGAACTAAGAGATCTGCTTGTCTCTGCCTCCCAAATGCTGGGATTAAAGGTGTGCAGCACCATGCCCAGCAGTTTTTGTTTACAAGATACTATTTACCTGGGAGCCCCAGTGGAAGCAGAGGCAGGCACATCTCTGTGAGTTCAAGGCCAGCCTGGTCTACAGAGCAAGTCCATCAAGATAGAGAAACCCTGTCTTGAAAAACAAACAAAAAAAAGGTACTATCTTGCTATGATGCTTTGGCTGCCCTCAAACTACTGCTTAGCCTCCTAAGTATCTGGGATTGCAGGGATGTGCCGGTGCCTCGCTCTTTGGGGATTACTGCTTTGGATATTTGTACAGAATGCAGGTAGGATTTAACACTGCCCAGGAGTTGTTACTATGTTTCCAACAGTTTTTGAGAGAGGTTTGAAAAAATAGCCCATCTCGGGGAATAACAGTAGAGGTGAGGGAAGGTGGGTAATGGCACAAAGTTTTGTTCAAAGCCCTTTATAGAGGGTAACTGAATAGTAGAGGCTGTGGTAAAATGTAAACCAAGGTCTCTGTGTGTGACAATAAAAGTTGTACAGATTGATAAATACATCACTAACCTAACCTGCCTTTTAAATACCAAGATTTAACCTGTTGAGGTGGCACATACCTATAATCCCTCCACTTGGGAAAGATGAGAAATACAAGTTCAAGGCAGCTGGGCTCTGTAGCAATTCTGTGTTTTAACAAGCAAAAAACAAAATAAAAACTTGTGTATAAAGGTTTGGTTCTGTTTTCAGTTTTTCTATTGTAAGTAGCTAAAACATGAATGAATGTGATGCTTGTAAGTAATGTGTTCCTGGATTCTGTTTTTTTGTTTTTGTTTTGTTTTGAGATAGGGTCTTTCTATGTGGGCCTGGCTGCCCTGGAACTCACTATATAGACCAGGTTGGCCTGTAGCTCAGAGATCCTTCTTTCTGCCTCTGCGTTATGAGTGTTGGGATTAAAGCTGTATGTTGCCATGCCCAGCTATTTTGGTCTTACTGTGTGATGGAGCAGTGTGAAGAATGCTGTTGTATATACTGTTGCTATGTGACCTTGAAAATACATGTTAAGAGCTCTGCCTATGGTAGTTTCAGTTACTCTTCTGAGATTTAAAAACAAAAAAAAATCATTAATACCAACTGTTAAATGGTTTTAAAATGTAGATGAAATTTCAAAATGAAATGGCTTTGTTTTACAATTTCAATTATGTTCTTGCCCTTTCTTTTTCTAAACAAAACAAACAAAACAAAACAAAACAAAAAAAACGAAACAGAAATTGATCTCAAAGAAGCACAAAGATTTTTTGCTCAAAAATTCTCCTGCGGTGCCTCAGTAACAGGGGAGGATGAGATCATCATTCAGGGAGACTTCACAGATGACATAATTGATGTCATTCAGGAAAAGTGGCCAGAGGTAAGTGCACAGGGTTTATGCACCCATAAAAGCAAGTTTTAAAAGCAAGTAACTTCCTTTCTTTTTAATTTTTGCCACAGTTCATGAAGTTCTTTTACCTGTTTTCTTCCAGGTGGATGATGACAGCATCGAAGACCTTGGAGAGGTGAAGAAGTGATTCTGAGGTTATGTGCTTCCGAGCTGACCTGAGAGTTGACATGGCCAACAGAGGAGAGGCCTTTCAGAAATATATACATATGTACATATGTGTATATATATATCCTACAGTAAAGCTGTAGACTCCTCATCCTTGGCGTTCTCACTGTTCTGTACAAGGCTGCTTGGTTTGTTTGTTTATTTGTTTGTTTTTATTGCCAAAGTCTGAAGAAGAGAGAGAGAGAGAGACTGTCATGCTTATGCATGAATCTGAATTTAGTCAAATAAAACATTTTGGTTATTTGGTACTGATTTTTTTTTTCCTCTTTTTAACTTTTTATTTTAGAAAAACACTATAGACTCTCCTCCCATTCGGTGCTATCAGTGGGGCCCAGGGCCTTGTGTGTGCTGGGGAAACACTGCTAATGGGCTAGACTCTTGACACCAAAACCTTTTTGTGGGAAATGTTTCTGTTGGTTATCTTATTGGCAGAAAGCTGAGCAACTTTTCAAAAGAATTTGAACCTAATGGAGTTTTGGTTGGATTAGTTCCTTCATTAACAAAGGTCACTTTGGTGATGTAGCTACCCAGGGTGGGTAGGCTTGCTCAAGCCGTTCTGCACATTACTTGCTAAAGTGCATTAAAAGCTTTAGAAGCCTGTGCACTGACCCAGTCAGCCACTTCAACACTGTCCTATGCTAAGGACAAGTCCTGTGTACAACTCGTGGGTGAGGGCGCCAATCACAATGTTACTGATGATGTTAGAGTTTAAGAATAATACAGAATAGTTAAAGAAATGATACAGCTTGTGGTTGGATACTATATATTTGAAAATGACTTTTTCAAGAATATTAGGAACCTGCTTGGTGATGTTGAGTAGGGTCAGACCACAAATTTGATTTAGACATTCTTTCTTCTTTTTTTTTTTTTTTTTTAAGATTTATTTATTTATATTTATACAGCATTTGGCCTGCATATATGTCAGAAGAGGACCCCAGATCTCACTGCAGATCGTTATGAGCCACCATGTGGTTGCTGGGAATTGAACTCAGGACCTTTGGAAGAACAGCCAGTGTTCTTAACCTCTGAGCCATCTCTCTAGCCCTAGACATTAATTCTTACTGTTAGGAATGGAAATATGCTCAGAAAAGGGAGGAACTGTTTCTGGCTGTACCTGCCAGTAAAATTCTAACGACTTAAAAACGGCATGTATCTGTTCTCAGTCTAGAGTTTGCGAAGTAGCAATTAAACTAACTTGTGGAGAAACTGATCGTTTTAATGAATGAATTTCATGAACTTGAATTTTGAAAATCAGGTGTCACATGTGAAAAGTCTTTTAATTGCTGTAGGTGGGGATATATATATAGCTGGGCCGCGCAAAGACTGCTTGTCTCGCATGCCCATAGCATCACAAACACAAGTTGCTGTCAATACTTTTAAGAATGTAGAATTCACGAAATTGTTAATTACCATGCAAAAACATCCTTTCTTGAATGAAAGAGTGCTTTTAGTTTGTTTGAAAGTCTTAGGAAAATATGTAATAAAGATGTAAAGTTAACAATGAGATTCTTCACTAACTGAATTTTGTTAAGTAGGAATAGTTGGCTATTCCTGCACTAGTCATAGCTATTTGGCATACGCACTGTAATTTCTTGGTGTGCTGTAAGATCCTCATGTATAGAAACATGGTGTTCATGTAAAAGACACTTTAATGTCCACGGACCATGCCCCCGTGGGTAGTGTTCCCACAGATGCCAGAACCTGTAGAGGTCCTTGGAGCTGAAGGTAAAGGTGGCTGTGAGCCACCCATTTTCATGCTGGGAATGGAACTTGGGTCCTCTGCTAGAGGAGCAAGCACCCTTAGCCATGGAGCCACCTCTTCAGCCTCCAAACAGTTCTTGAAAAAAATGCATTTTCAATCCTTATGTAGCCACCAACAGATGTTACTGCCAGAAAATGAAGGGTTGAAATTGCCCTTATTGATAACTTGACTTTCCCTTTCTCTTGAAATTTAACGTACCCTGTAGTTCAGAGATTGACTTTAATTCTTAATTGTCACAATCAAATTTTCTTTTGGTTTGGTTTTACAAGAGTTTCTCTGTGTAGCCCTGGCTGTCCTGGAACTCTCTGTAAACCAGGCTGGCCTCTATAATTTACAGAGATCAGCCTGCCTCTGACTCCTGAGTGCTGGAATTAAAGGTATGACCACTACCGGACTAGTTTTTTTGTTTGTTTAATTTGTTACGTTATTTATTTGGTGTGTATGTATGTATGTGGTAAAGCGTTTGTTTCAGGGATGAAGACAGGGATTTTGATCCCCAGCACACGTAATTAATTTTAAATTTACTCATTTATTTTGGTGTGTCTGCTTATGTGCAGAGAGAGAACAACTTTGAATTCTCTCCTGGTGTGGATCCCTAGGATAACTCTAAGGTGGTCAGACCTGGGTGGAAATCACTTTAGGGTCCAGGGCCATTCTGCTTGCCCTCCTCCGATCCCCAACACCCGTAAAACAAAATAGCCGGTGCCTGTCGCCTGCATTTGTAATGCTAGAGCTGGGACCCTGGCAGGAGGATGGCTGGCCAGCCTGTCTAGCGTTAAGTTTTCCTCGCAAGTCATGCAGAGTGTACAAACATAAAAATAGCCCCCCTAGGACTCCGGTCTTTCCTCCTCAGCCTCGGGATCCAGCATTAATATGGTGAATATTGTTATAGAATGTCACGGTTCTCATCACTGTTAAGAGCAGATGGATGACTGGTGCATAGATCCTTCGCTCTTGAGTGATCTTTTGAGTACTCCCGAGAGCTACGCCCTTTCAAGCCAAGTATTCACAGGAAGGCAAACAGCTCACCCCCTGGCTGAGTTAAGGAAAGCCACAAAGCAAGTGAACCAGGGCCAGTGAGACCTAGAAACGGCTTTTAATTCACTTGTCTTTCCTGCTGCAACGCTTCTCTGGAGACCTTTGGTGTGCCGAAGCCTTGCGCATGGAAAAGCCGGTTTAAGTTCTCAGGTCGCAAATCTCGCGAGACTTGAAGCGTCCTCCTGAGCGACGCCCCAGTGTGGTCGGGCGGTTTGGGTGCGCATGCGTGGCCTTGAGGGCGTGGTGTCCGGGGCTGCGGCCTTGCCACCGCCCCTGCGGCCAGGCGCCGCCGATGGCGTTTCTGAGGTGACGCGCTGCTGGCACCGACCCTCTCTCGGGGCGGGGGCATCACCCATGAACCTCTCGTCGGCCCTCTTCGTCCGGCGCCAGGTGAGCGCCGGTGCCCCGGGAGACGGTGCAGAGAGGGAACGAAGGGGTCGTTTCCTCGGCCTAGCAAAACCCGGGGCCCAGCGACGAGGCGCGAGCACCAGCGCATTGCTGTTGAACGTTGACAGGGACGTTGCCCTCCTCGTTTGTTTAACAGTAGCCTAGCGAATGGATGGACTTTCTTTGACAGTCTTGAAAGTTAATTTGCCCAAGATTTGCGTTCATGCATGAGTGTAGAATGACATGACCACGTTTTGTATGCTTGGTGTATTGCCTGTTTCCTCCACTGAGCTCCGTGCCCCTTGCTGCCCATTCCTATAGACTGGAATTCAGGTATTGTGACTTGGAATTACAAGTTCTTTTGAATGTGTGTTTGGTTACCAGTAGGTAACTATAAATCATTCTCTATAAATCTTCTTCAAAAAAGTGTAATCCTATACATGAATCTCCTGTGAACTTGTACTGCACAACATGCCCTGTGTAGACCATATTGGCATCACTCCCACCCCCATCTTCCTGCCTCTGCCTTCCGAGTTCTGAGAATATAGGTATGAGCCACCATATCCCAGCTTTAATTACTGTCGTTAACTTAGGACTTTGGGGCTAGGCTTAGCTTGGTGGTAGAGTTGCCTAGCACACATGAGGCAAGTTCAATCCCCACTTTACATACACAAAAGCAGAACATAATTCTGTATCATATGGTATATAGTACAACTTAATAGCAGCTAATATTGAGCCAGTGGGATGGCTCAATGGGTAAAGATTTCATGAAGCTGGCCTGATGATTTGTGTTCTGTCCCTGGAATCCATATGGCAGAAGGCGAGAGCCAACTCCTGAAAGTTGTCCTCTTACCTATACACATACATATGAATTAAGCCAGAAAGTACTTCGGAAGTAAAGGCATATTTCTGTAAGTTTAAGGTCAGCCAGGGCTGCAAAACAAGTCCCTGTCTAATTGTAAATAATAGTAATAATAATAACACCAGTTAATGTTAAGGGATTATTATATGCCAGGTACTTAAAAAGCCACAGGCCTGTAATCCCAGATACTTTGGAGGCTGGAAATTTCAAGGCCACAGAGTGAGCCCAAGTGCAGGGCAATTTATTGAGACTACATCTCAAAAGATATTTTTTTAAAGGCTATGGGAGGGGGCTGTGGAGAGATGGCTCATAGGTTAAGAGCACTGGTTACTCTTCCAGAGGTCATGAGTTCAATTCCCAGCAACCACATGGTGGCTCCCAAACATCAAAAATGAAGTCAGGTGCCCTCTTCTGGCGTGCAGGTGTACATGCAAACACACTTTGTATATACAATAAATAAATCTTTAAAAGAAAAAAATAAAAGCTGTAATTAAAGGCTGTGGGAACTGGAGTGATGGCCCAGTAGTTGGTTAAGAATATTGCTCAGTGATAGCATATTTGCCTAAACATGTGCAAATCCCTTAGAGAACTGTTGTTTCCATTTTACAGGTCAAGAAACTAAGGCTGAGAGGTGCTAAGTAACTTGATTAAAGTTATAGAACCATCAAATGGCCAACTCTGGATTCAGGTTGATAGGATCTGCCATACACAGGACTTTAAAATGGTTAGCCAGGTATGGTGCATGTCTTTAATCCCTGCAGAGGATTAAAGTTGAATTGAGGCCAGCCTGCTCTGCAGATCAAGTTCCAGAACAGCCAGGGCTATACAGCGAAATACTCTTGAAAACTCAAACGCTGGGTGCAGTGGTGCACACCTGTAATCCCAGCACTGGGGGAGGAAGAGGAAGGCAGATCTCTGTGAGTTCAAGATCATCCTGGTCTACAAAGCGTGTCCAGGACAGCCAAGGCTATAGGGAGATACCCTGTCTTGAAAAAAACAAAACAAAACAAAATAATAATAACCAAGAAAGATTATAGATCATCCTTGTGTTGATAAGCACCACCATGCGTGGCCTATCTAAAAATATGAGTGTGCATATGACGTGTGGATGTAGCACAAGTGCATACGTGAAGGCCAGAGGACAGCTTTGTGGAGGTGGTTGGTTCTCTCTCTCCAACTTTTCCTTGGTTCTGGGCATTGAACTCAGAATGCCAGGCTGTAGGGCAGGCAGCTTTATTTGCTGAGCCATCGTACCCCTTTTAATATTTGTGTATTTTTAATTTTATTTGTATGGGTGTTTTGCCTGCATGTGTATCTGTACATCATGTGTGTGCCTGGTGCCCGAGGAGTCCTGAAGAGGGCATCAGATCCCTTGGAACTGAAGGTACAGACAGTTTTGAGCTGCTATGTGAGTACTAAGAATCAAAGTCCTCCGGATTGTCTCTGCCCTTGTTTTTAATTAGATATGTTGAGTTTGGACAAGCAACAATATTAAATTGCCTTTGATAGAATGAGTGTATTTCAGTAATGTGTCTGTTAATATTTAGAATTTAATTTTTTTCCTTTCTTTCTTTTCTTTTTTTTTTTCTTTTCTTTCTTTCTTCATTTTTGTTGTTATTGCCACAAAGTCTAACTATGTAGTTCTGGTTGGCTTGGAACTTGATATATAGACTAAACTGGCCTTGAACTCATAGAGATCCACCTCTCTCTACCTCTGGAGTGCTGAGACTTAAAGACATACCATCACATGTAGCTTAACTATTTTCTTATAGATTAAAATTTCCATTCTTTGATAAGAATTGATTATAATATTGTTAAAAAAATAATTGGTTCATATTTACCTTTCCTTGATTTCTCCAAAATTTCTAGGTCAAGGATTGGGAGTACATCTCAGTTAAATCACATGCTCATTAATGCTCTGGGTTTGAGCTCCAGCACCACACACACACACACACACACACACACACACACACACACACGTGTCTGCAGGTGTGTGTGCGTGTATGTGTGATGGAATACACAGAAGGGCAGGGTAGGAAATAGCATTATTGACCAGAACAGGAAGATTGACAGCAAAAGGGTGGGGAGGGCCAAAGCAGAAGATGAGTGTATTGTGGTGTAGCCAGTTTTGGAATGGCCCTACTCTTTAAGAACGTGTGGTGTGATGGAAGATGTGGTATGAGGCAGCCTGGGTGGTAGGTTTAAACTTGCTTTAAACATGTATAACTATGTGTTGTTCTTAAAAGAGGATAAAACTCAACTTCACAATTCAGAGTTGGCCACAAAAGAATATAGTTATTTGGAAAGTGTATTGTGGCCAATGTGTGGTATTGGCTTTATCTTGATTCAGAATCACCTTCCATGTTTAGAACATCGGATCAGAAGTTGATAATTCCACTATTGAGAAACAAAGGAAGGAGCTGCAGTTGCTCATTGGAGAACTGAAAGATCGAGATAAAGAGCTCAATGATATGGTTGCAGTGCATCAGAGACAACTTCTTTCATGGGAAGAGGATCGGCAGAAAGTGTTGACTTTGGAGGAACGTTGCAGCAAATTAGAAGGTCAGAAACAGGTAGCTCCGTCTGTTGTATATGCCTGTGTGCTGACACACTGAAAGGGCTCATTAGGAAGAGGTAAAGAATATGGCTCCTGATATCCAGGAACTCTGTCCTTCTGACGATGGGAGACTTTATAAACAGTCACCTCAAATGTACAGACATAAGAGAGGCAGAGCTCAAATACAGGAAAAGTGCTGGCCAGAACTACAGTTAAACACAGCGTTAACATGAGTGACGGCTGCGGGTGTAACCCAGTGCTTAGGGAATGCTCAGAGCCCTGGGTCACCACAATCGTTGTTTAACACACAGAGGGGAGCCGGGCACAATGGTGCACCCCTGTAATCACAGCATTGTGGGAGGCAGAGGCAGGCAGATCTCTGTGAGGCCAGCCTGGTCTACAGAGTGAGTCCAGGACAGCCAAAGCTACACAGAGAAACCCTGTCTCAAAAAACCAAAAACAAACAGCAAAAAAGCATAGAGAGGGCATAGCATGATGGTTGAGCAGGTAAAGGTATTTCTAGCTAAGCCTAACCTAATTTCAGTCTCTAGTACCTTCACAGTGGAAAGAGTTGACTCTCACAAATTATCTGTTGGTTTTTATAACACACAGCCTTGTCACATATATAAATAAATAATTAAAAAATACTTTATGTGTATGTATGTCTGCTCACCACATGCATGTAATGACAGAGGAGGTCAGAAAAGGGTGATGAGTTCCCTCTGGGACTAAAGGTACAGGCGCTTATGAAACCATTATGCTGGGAATTGAGCCTGGGTCCTCTAGAAGAGCAGCAGGTCTCTTAACTACTGTGCCATTGCTCTGTTCCCTAAATATAATTTCAAAAAAATTGTAAAATAGTGCTGAGAGCATAGCTCAGTTGAGAGTGTTTGCTTAGCATGAATGAAGCATTGGGTTCTACCTAAGCACCATATAAAACCAGTCTGGTCAGTAGAGGTCAGATGACCAGAAGTTCAAGGTCATCCTTGGCTATACAGTAAATTTGAAGCCGGCCTGAGGTTCATGAGACCTTGTCTCAAAAATTTCAAATAAAATAAAGCAAAAATACAAATCCTATATGTGTGTATGTATACATATATATGTGTATATATTTATATATATGTGTGTACATATTTATGTATGTATGTATGTGTGTGTGTGTGTGTGTGTATATATAAGTATATATATATATATATACTTGAGTGTGTGTGGTTAAAGATGGCTTACTAAAAATAATATAAATAGGGCCCACAGGTTGGCTTAGTGGGTAGAGGCACTTGCTGCTAGGCCTGAGGACCTTAGTTCAATGCCCAAGAGCCTGATGGTAGGAGAGAACCAGTTTTCACAAGTTGCCCTCTGACCTTCACAGGCACTGTTATATATGTGCACAAGCACATGCACAAACACAGTAAATGTAATTAAAATTTTTTAAGTAGCATAAAGAGCCAGATGTGGTGGCACACACCTTTATTCTCAGCACTGAGGAAGTAGAAGCAGGTGGATCTATGTGAGTTCAAAGCCAGGTCTACAGAGTGGGTGCCAGGACAGACAGGGATACCAGTGAGACCCTTTCTTTGTTGTTTTTGAGATAGGGCTTCGCCTGTGTAACAGCCCTGGCTGTCCTGGAACTTACTTTGTAGACTGGCCTGGTCTCAGACTCACCGAGATCCGCCTGCCTCTGCCTCCCCAAGTGCTGGGACTTCAGGTGTGCGCCACTGTGCCCAGCTAAGGTGCTTCTTAAATAATACACATTGTATGTAGCCACCAGTATCTAGTTTTTGAAGTAAATGAGATCTGGCCTTGAGTATGCAGAATAGAGGAGGTGCTTTTCTAGCATGCAGAGGGCTTTTTTAGTCTTTAGTACCACATACAGGAGCAGGACTTGATAAGTTCTTCATGGAAAGAGGAAAATTTAATGAGGTTCTCATTCTCATTAGTCATTAGGGAAACAGAAGTTAAACCATAATTACAGATTACTTAATGTTCGCTAGACTGGCTGTCAGGTGTTGGTAAAGGGAGCCAGCTCTACAGCTGTAACATCTGTCTCTTGTTTTCTGACCTTGGAAGCCATGGAAGCTCAGGCCTTCTTAGCACATGTATGGGAAGACAGCCATAGGAAGGCTAATGCTGCTGATGGAAATAAGTTGCCAGATACTTGGGGAAATCATTTCACAGTAACTAGTAAAGTTGAAGACTTATATATCTGTAAGAAAGGATCCAAAGCCCGGAAGATGTTCTAGCATGGCCCAGCCTTTCCACCTCCAGGAATTCTCACTTGAGTTGCCATAAGAACTTACTAAATGCAGATTGTGGGCTGAAGAAAATGACTCATTGGGAAAATATGCTTAACATTCTTAAAGTCCTGGCTTCCATCCCCAGCAAACACCCCCCACCACACACACACAGAAGTAGTTTCTGATATAATAGATTTAGGATTAAGAGTCTTCTTTGGTTTTATTCTGTTATTTTCCTGTCCTGGAACTCACAGAGATCCGCCTGCCTCTGCCTCCAGAGTGTTTGGGATTAAAGGTGTGCACCACCGCTGCCTTTTCTATTTAAAATTTTTTTTTTTAAATTTATGTCTATGGGTTTTTTTGCCGTCATGTTTGTCTATACACTACATGCATGAAGTGTGTTGAGAGACCAGAAGAGGACACTGGATCTCCTGGGACTGGAGTTAAGATTGTAAGCCACCATGTGGGTAATGGGACTTGAACTTTGGTCATCAAAAAGAGCATCCAGTGCTATTAATCACTGAACCATTTCTCTAACCTCTTTTTTTGTTGTTGTTTTTATTTTTGTTCCATTTATTCATTCATTCATTTATTTATTTATTTATTTATTTATTTATTTATTTATTTATTTATTTTTGAGGCAGAGTTTCTCTGTGTAGCCCTGGCTGTCCTGTAACTCACTTTGTAGCCTAGGCTGGCCTGGAACTCACAGAGATCTTGACAGGTAGAGAGAGATACTGTGCCTTAAGCACTGGGATTAAAGTATGAGCCACTGTGCTCAGCAATCTCTTATTTTTTATTGTTTTGTTTTTTGAGACAGGGTTTCTCTGTGTAGCCCCGGACTAGCTTTATAGATCAGGCTGGCCTTGAATTCACAGAAATCCACCTACCTTTGACTCCTGAGTGCTGGTATAATAGGCGTGTGCCACCATGCCCAGTTTTCATTTATTTTTAAAATAGATTAATTTATTATTTTTATTTTATATGTGTAGGTACTTAGCCTGGATTTATATACATGCATCATATATGTGCCCTCAGAGTCTAGGAGAGGGTGTTAGATCTCCGGGAACTGGAAATACAGGGAGTTGTGAGCTGCCATATGGGTATTGGGAACCAAGTCTAAGTCTGCAAGAGCAACAAGTGCTCTTAAGCACTGAAGCATCTCTCCAGCCTTTATTTACTTTTTATTATGTGGGATGTGTGTGTGCATATGTGCACATGAGTGAGTGCTGGTGCCTGAGAGAGTGCTGGTGACAGAGTCTGATCCCCTGGAGCTGGAGTTACAGGCACTTGTGAGCTGCAGAGTACAGGGACTAGGAATCAAACGTGAGTCCTCAGCAAGAGCAGTATAAGATCCTAACTGCTGAGTCATCTCTTCTGCACTTTGTTTTTTACTTATTTATTTTTAAATTTTGATCCAGGGTATTCCATGGTTCAGGCTGAATTTGAACTTGCTGTCGCAAAGGATGATCTTGAGCTCCTAATCTTACTGTCTTCACCTGTCTAGTACTGGGCTCCTTGGGTTACACATATGCACTGCCATGCCTGAGTTAGGAGTGTGCATTTCTAGCAGTATCCCCAATGATGCCAGTGTTGTAGGTTCAAGGACCACATTTTGAGTAGCAAAGCAGATATGCCCCAAGACACATTTGAGTGTGCATTCAGAGCAGCACTGTTTAACAGTGCAAAGTGGACACAACCTAGATAATTACTAGTAGCAGAGCAGATATATGCATGTTGGTGTTATAATTTAATAGGCTGCCACATAGCAGTGTTAGTGATAAACACAGGATCCTACAAGTGAGGAGACAAACTCTTGAGTATAATTCCATCTGTATATGGCTCAGATTATGCTTTGCGGGTGGATTCAGACATAGGAGAATAAGAACAGTAGAAGCAAGATGTTGCCCTGGAGTGTAGCTCATTGGTGGGCAGATGTCTGGCATACCATCCTTACCATGAGGAGTGGGTGGGAAGCAAGAAAGTGGTTATTCTAAGATGAGGGCAGTGGCTTGGAAAGTGGAAATTAAGAGAGATTCTTTTAGGCAGATGACTTCTGAGTTGGTGCCAGTGTCTACTTCTGGAATACATATGGTATTGTGCATTTCACAGTAAAATGTTTTTAAGATGTTTAACACGCCTTTACTTTATAATCACTGATTTTGAAAATGCTGCCTGTTACATCTCAGTACAGACACAGTGGTTGAAATTTCTCTCAGGTGAGCTGCAAAAAAGAACCGACATAATCAAGTCACTCATGAAAAAGGTCAAGATCCTTGAATCCAATCAAACAGAATGTCAGACAGCTCTTCAGAAGACTCAGCAACAGCTTCAGGAAATGGCTCAAAAAGCTACACACTCTGCCCTTCTCTCAGAAGACCTTGAGGTTGCTTTCAATTTGTGATGAACTTCATTAGTCCAAATTCTGGGTTTCAGTTATAGAAAAATTAACTTTAAATGTCACCATTAAAAATGGATGTGCGTGTATGTGTGTGTGTGTGTGGAAGTGTGTAGTGTGTGTTCTGTCCATCTTAACTTTGTGTTCTCCATGCTTTCTGGCTAGCTGCAGAGCACTGTTCTGTTCTGGAAGTGAAGTTTCATCACGGTCCATAAAGGACCGTTTTGCTGTTTGGTTTAGAAGCCCTGTCCATTTTACCAGGAATGGGTTACTTCAGAAAATCTTTCTCCAAGTCTGAAATAAGAACCTTTAAGTTTTGGTAGCTTCAAATTTGGCTTTCTAGATTATGAATTCTTCTCCTATCCTTCCTTCCTTTCCCTTCACTTTCTCTTCCCCTTTCCAGTGAAGATTAAATCCAGGGCTTTGAAGATGGAAATGCTTTATATTTTCATATTTTTTTTAATTTTTAATTTTTAAATTTTGATTTTGAAACATGCCTCCGTAAGTCTCCTCTAGTTAGTGTTGCACCTGCAGTCCCTCTGAAGTACTGAGATTAACCTAAGTCTGTCTGATGTGATAAACACACCCACACCAAATGCATATAAACGTGGTAACCAGACATGAACATAGTAACATATTTGGGGTAAAATTGGTAAGACCTAGTTTTCAGTATTTTATGTCTTTGTTATTTAGTTATTTAAAATAGTCTTATTATGTAGCCCAGACTGATCTCAAACTTTTTGTTTTGTTTTGTTTTTCGAGACAGGGTTTCTCTGTGTAGCCTTGGCTGTCCTGGACTTGATTTGTAGACCAGGCTGGCCTTGAACTCACATGTTCCACCTGCCTCTGCCTTCCTAAGTGCTGGGATTACAGGCATGTGCCACCACGCCCAGCTTGGTCTCAAACTTTTAATCCTTCTGCCTCAGCCTTCTGAATATTCTAATTACAGTTCATGTCACTATGCTCAGCTAAGCTTTATATTTTAGAGCAGTTTTAGGGTCACAGCAAAATTGAGTGGAAAATACAGAGTTTTCATATCTGCTATATGCACACACACAGCCTCCCCCACTTCTGAGGCCCTGCATCATGATGGTCTATTTGTTGTAAATGCATATAGACACTTCATTATCACCCCAAGTCCAGTTTATGTAATGGCTCACTTTTTTGTGTTTTACTTTCTATATGAGAATTGGGGCAAATGTATATTTGCATATTGAGCCGAACCCAGTGTAAAGTTCTTTTAGTCTAGATGTTAAAAAAGATGTGTAGCCAGGTGTGGTGGTGCACGCCTCTAATCCCAGCACTCGGGAGGCAAAGGCAGGCAGATCTCTGTGAGGCCAGCCTGGTCTACAGAGTGAGTTCTAGGACAGCCAAGGCTACACAGAGAAATCCTGTCTCAAAAAAGATGGACAGAATTCACTAAGGCTATTTCCTTTAATAGAAATCCAGTTTTCATTAGTTCATTATCTTTCTCCTAACTGTGGTCAGAGAAGGCATAGAATTTGGGACTGGGTGGATTTTTTTTTAGTGGCTTCCTTAAACCAGCTGTGTGATGTTTTATTTGTGAGTTAATTAAAATAAAATTTTACTTAAAAAATAAAAGAAATATTTATAAACATAACCTATATAAATCAGTAGTGTTAGAACAATTGTTAAGTTTTTAGAGGGAGCTGGCGTTATAGAGAAATAGGTATTTGCATTCCTTCTTGATGATTGCTTACTTAGCCCACTTTGTTCATTAAAAATATTAAATTTAAAAAATAGAAAAAGGAGTGTTTGTGGTTAGTAGCATCAAGGAAGGGTTGACAGACTCAATAAGTATTTTCTGTGTTGTTCCTTTGTAGGCTAGAAACGAAAATCTCAGCAGCACATTAGTGGAACTTTCTGCTCAGGTAGGACAATTGCAAGCTAGAGAGCAGGCTCTCACTACCATGATAAAGCTAAAGGTAACTGAAACACTACACCTCTTAGCTCGCAGAGCTCACCCACACACTCCATCTTACCCTGAGTCCTTAGCCTAGAAACAGAGCTGCCAGCATTACTCATTTTGTCTTTTTCTTCCAAAAATGAAAGAAAGAGGTTCACATGGTACTCCCAAAACTACTGTACTTCACCTCAGTAAATCTGTTTTCTGCTGTAGGTCTCCTGAAGATAGTGACTATTAGATGCTTGTTAGTCTTTTATTAAAACAAGTAAGCTGGGTGATGGTGGCATAAGCCTTTAATCCCAGCACTTGGGAAGTAGAAGCAAGCAGATCTCTGTGAGTTCCAGGTCAGCCTGGTCTACAGATCGAGTCCAGGACAGCCAAGGATGCACAGAGAAATCCTGTCTTGAAAAACAAACAAACAAAAAAAAAGGGGGGGGGGTATCTGGAGAGCTGGCTCAGTGGTTAAGAGCACTGTCTGCTCATTCAGATGACCTGAGGTCAATTCCCAGCAACCACATGGTGGCTCAAAAATCACCTATAATAGGATCTGATTCCCTTTTCTGACAGGTGGGTGTACATGCAGCTAGGGCACTCATATACATAAAATAAATCTTTTTTTAATTTAAATTTTTTTTATTTTATGTAAATTGATGTTCTGCCTGAATGTATGTCTGTGTGAGGGTGTCAGAAGCCCTGGAGCTGGAGTTACAGACAGTTGTGAGCTGCCATATGGGTGCTAGGAATTGAACCCATGTCCTCTGGAAGAACAGCCAGTGTCATAACCGCTGAGCCATCTCTCCAGCCCAAATAAAGAAATCTTAAAAAACAAACAAACAAACAAACAAACAAACCAAAGAGGTAAACTGGCAGCTGACAAACATTCTTAGCCCCTCCTCTGGTTTTGATTTTTGTAGCTCAGTGGTAGAGTGCTTACCTAGCAAACAAAAGGCCCTGGGTTCAGTCCCCAGCACCATTAATAAACAAATCTTTTTTATTTAACAAAACAATCATACAAACAACAAAAGTTTGTGATCAGACCAGTTTAAAAATAGTAAACAGTTAAACCAGTGACAAGAGAGACAACTCCTTCTGTCTCTGTCAGCCTTAAACAAGGAGCTTAGGAGTTCCTGCTTCTGTCTTTCTAATAAGAAAGCATGCACACTCTACCATTACTGAGCTACATCCTTAGGCCCTCCTCTGGTTTTGATTGCATTTTGTTTTGTCTGCTGGACTGAAACTTAATGTGGCCCACGCTGGCCTAGGACTCATTGCTCCTTCTCCTTTAGTCTCCAGAATGCTGAGCTTTCAGTTGTATGCCACCATGCCCAGTCTTCACTGGCTATTGAATGGTTCACCCCAATCTTTTATCTCCCCATAAGTCCTCTGAGTTTATATGGTTTTTTTCCAGAAAGCATGTGTGGTGGTGGTGTAGCAGTGGTTGTGCTCAGCAAGGCACACCTGTTAATCATGGTATTTCAGCAAGTGTCCCTAGACCGAGGCTTGAACCTGGGACCTCACACATGCTAGGCAAGTGCTCTACCACTGAGCTACCTGAAAAGATAAGTTATAGTTTGGGGGGCCTTTTCTATTTTCCTGCTCTAGCTCCCAAATAAATGACACAGAGATTTATTAATAGATTTATTAATAAGGTTAGGCTCTATAACTAGGCAGATATGATCTATTTTAACTCACTATGCTAGTTTTGCTATTTCCCAGCCATGTGCCCCAAGTTACTTGCCATCTTCGTCCTGCCTGGGCTGTTTCAGCCCCATTCATGGTCACGTCCTTTCTCTACCTCTTCTCTCATGGTCCCTACCTGAGACCCAGTAACTGGGCACAGAAGTTCCACCTAATGGCCTCTCTCACCCAGCTATAGGGTGTCCGCATCTTTATTAACCAATCAGAGATAATTGGGGAGCAAAGCTTATACAACATTGATCATTGAACATGACAATGCCCACATCCAAACTGCAACCAGATGTCAGAACCCAGAATTCAGCATCTGAGTACACAGGGTACCAGACCAACCTCCAACAGCTACTTCCCCCCACTTACGGTTATACATTAATTATGATTAGAATTGTCTTTCAGCAAGTAGATTTCTCCCTCACAGGACTTAACTGTGATCCAGAGAATAACATCCTCATCAAAGAGCTGCCAACTCACCACTTGCTGAACACTCTAGCCTGGCTATGAAATTGTCTGGTTCTTGCTGGATGTGGTGGCACACGCCTTTAATCCCAGTGTTAAGAGGCAGAGGCAGGTGGATCTCCATGAGTTTGAAGCCAGCCCAGTTACTATATTGAGTTCAGTACATCCAGGGCTATGTAAAGAGACTTTGTCTTAAAAGAAAATTGTCTGTTTTTCAACTTTTCAAAAGTAAGTTTGGTAAAAAGTAAGGTGTCATTGCAGCAGGTAGTTTTCCAGGGCAGCCAACTAAACTGAAGTGGTTGCGTCAGTGCCATGGTCAGATAAGAATTTATTTTTCTGTCTGCTGACTCCTTTGTCACTTGGTGCTAGCATAGAGTTACAGCAACTGAGTTAACCTGAAAGGCATTTAGATAGGAACTTGCTGCAGAATACAGTCTAAGTAAGAACAACCTCACTGATTAGTTGAAATTTAAAATCTAGCTAACAGCTTTCCTCTTGGTTTTTAGGACAAAGATATTATTGAGGCAGTCAATCACATTTCAGACTGTTCGGGTAAATTTAAATTGTTAGAGCATGCTTTACGTGACGCTAAGGTGGCAGAGACTTGTATTGTGAAAGAAAAACAAGATTACAAGCAGAAATTGAAGGCACTTAGGATTGAAGTCAATAAACTGAAAGGTAAGGAAATACAATTTTATATAGTAGTACATTGTCTTGGAAATTTATTTTTTTATCAGAGTTTCCTTAATCTTATACTTTGAGAGTAGATTTTATTCCTGCCTATAGATTCTAACATGCAGTGTCTGTTTTTCATGTATATAGAATTAGTGCCACAAGTTTTGTGATGTAAGATAACAAAATTGTGGTTAAACTCCATCTTTTCTTTTTGAAAGGCCAACCTGGGCTACCTGTCAACCTCACCCTCCTAAATCTGAAATTTTTATCTTGACCAATGTAATGTAAATGACTCAGCATTTTATAATCTTGGCCTTACCATGCCTTCACCAATGGTCATAAGTCCTGTCTCCATTTGTAATGTCAACTAAGCCATCATTTCATAAGCCCCATGGCAGTAGTGGGAACAGACTGTGTCTCTTGTCTTCAGTTAGCACAGTACCAATGACACACTGTGGTTTATCAGTGTTTATTGAGTGTGTGTGAGCCAAGCAGAATGTTCAAGTAGAAGTCTGTTGTGTCAATATTTACGTATTTTGAGCATTTGATTAGCCCAGTATTTATTTAAACATTTTAAAAGTAGGGTAATGGGAATTAGAACAGAGAGCAAGGGAGAGAAACTTGTTTAGTCCAGGTTGACTGAGAAAGTCAATTTGAAGAGTTGGCATTTGAGCTGTAACTGCATTGTAGACAGAACTAGCCAGAACCTGACTGAAAACCTTCTAGGCATAAGATAGGAAAAGCAAATGCAGAAGGCCTAGAGTGGATTTTAAGTGAGGACATTCTGGGTTTGTCTGTTTGTTTGTTTCCCTCTTGGAAAAAGGAACTCTCTTTCTCCTATACCAGTTGGGTACATACTCAAGTCAGTTTAATGCTTTTGATGTTATCTGTGTACCTGGAGCTAGTGACAAATCCCATAGGTTCATGTCCCATTAGGTTGTTTCCATTTAAGACACCAGTCCCAAATCCCGCCAGAGCCTTACATACCAATTGGCAGTAAATTAGAGTTTTTACAACCTCGTGAGCTGCCTTTATGATTTGCTGGAAGGCTCAGACAGCTCAGGGAAGCACTTTGCCATTTCTACAGAAACTCTAGAGCTACAGATGGAAGTGGCTCCATGTGCAGAGCTACCTGAACCTTCTATGCGTGTGTAGCAGGGGCTCTCAGTCTCCAGTGCTCTGTCTTCAGCCTTCCCTTAGTTTGGAGGCTGGTGAATAGGCCTGAAAGTTCCAGCCCTAGGACTTGCTGGTGGGGTTCCAGATGCTAACTGGAGTGGTATCTGGAAGGGTCTCTTTTTTGTTTCATTTGGGTTTGTTTGATTTTGGAGACATGGCGTTGGAGCATAGCCTTAGGATAGCCTCGAATTTGTGATCCTCTTGCCTCAGCTTCCTGAGGGCTCCCTTTGAATGACATACTCATCACTCAGGAAATTCCAAGAGATTCAGAAGCTATTCACCAAGAATGGGCAGCAAAACCCCTGTTATTTCTTTTTTATCCCAAAGAGAGTCAGGTAAAGAAAGAGAAAGAAGAGAAAAGAAGAGGGAGAGTGGTAGGGAACTGGGAAGACCGTGTCACTGCGGCCTTTGCTGTTTACAGTAATGAATTTGGGCTTCATCCTTAGTGCAGCAGGGAGGGCTTCTTACTAAGAAACGACATAGGAGTTTTTATTGTTAGAGATTGCTCTTTGTGCCCTGGGTTGTAGCAAGAAAGGCCAGGCCAGAGCCATGAGACCAGCCAGCCCAGAGATAGTGAATGGCCCATCATGTACTGGCTGTAGACCCAACAGAGTCCTCGGAGGCAGCTTTTGTGTAGTGTCTGTGTTTCCTCGGAGGCTGGTATTTACTTAAAAGATTTTTCTTCCTTCTGTTTTGAAGAGGACCTAAGTGAAAAGACAACAGAAAACAACGAACAACGAGAAGAGATCATTCGCCTCAAGCAAGAGAAGAGTTGTCTACATGACGAATTGATTTTTACTGGTAAAAGAAATAGATTGAAGTATTTGAATAATTGCATGTTTGTAACCTCAGCTTTGTGTCATAGGCTAAAGGATGTACACCTCCCTCAAAATAGGCTTTTGCATATTTTCCCGTCTTTTGAGGAATCAGTAAGGGACTGGGCCTGAGTTTTAGCATTTTTATTCTCCCTCCACATAGCTGTTTCTTCCTGTAAAGTGGAGCTACATACTTATCCAGCTTGAGTGGGTCATTATGCTTCTCGACAAAAGACAATATTCCTGCTGGAACTTTTACCACAGAGTAGGAGTGTAGCTCAGTTGGTGGAATGCCTGCCCAATACACAAAGCTGTGAGTTCAGTAGCTGATGGCTACTGAACATATAGTAGCCATAGTAGCCATAGCTGATGGCGTAGAACATAATCTCAGAGCTTGGAGGCAGGCGCCAAAGGATCAGAAGTAACATCATTTGAAAAGAATTTTATGGAAAAAAATTAGGAGTTCAAAGGCTGGTATATAACCTGGTGTGTAGAGTACTTACCTAGTACTAGACTTGAGCTCTAGTGCTAAAAACCTTTAGGAATTCAGCATTCAGTTTGCAAATTAATTACCTATAGTTACTAAGCTGGGAAAACACTCATGCTATTGTTTATGTAACTCAAAGTAAGAAAGTTAGGCATGACTTCTCCTCATTAATAAGTTTCATGTGTAATCATCCCAGTCTTTTCCATCACGCACCATGTTCCCAGCACTGCCCCTGCCCATCCCACCTCAGGTTTTCACTGGTGATGTCCTCTCTCTTCTCACTGTGACACATTGAGCTTGTAACCCTGCCTACCAAGGTTTCCGTAGGGTCTCAGGTAAGCCATTGTGTTAGGAAAATCACAGATTTAGAGGGAAATTTTCAAAGAGAAAGTTAGATGGGCATTTTTGATCCAGTCATTCATGCCTTCAATCCCCCTCGTTTTAAGACGAGAATAAATTTCTATAGCTTAAAGGGAAAACACAGCATTACCTTTAGAATTTTCAAATACAATGGAATCTTCCATTTTAATCTCCTTTTTAAGGACTGCCAGTTTCACCACTAGAGGTCACTGTGTTCATTATTTCTAGGATTTCTGTCTTAGTTGTGTATTGTGTGTAACAAAATATACAATGTATCTGTCACTTTACAGTTGGATCAGAGTGTATGTGATTCCACTAAGGCTGAGACACTTACATGCCACAGAGAATCAGAACTAAGCAAATGCTACAAAGACACTGATTGCTTTTGTCTAGTGTATTCTGAGGTATATGCCAAAAGTAAATGTCATACAAGCCTTCAACCACCTGCATATTATATTAAGATATGCATACACTCATATATACATACATGGGAAGGGCAGAGGATGCAGTCTAGTTTATAGGCTACTTTACACCACCAGTTCCCAGATTGGCCCGAACTGAGATGTATAGGTGTGTACCATCACACCCAGTCCTGTTAAATAAAACTATAAACCATTTGGGAAATAACTTTTTTGTTGTTGTTTGGTTTTTTGAGACAGGGTTTCTCTGTGTAGTCCTGGCTGTCCTGGACTCCATATACCAGGCTGGCCTCAAACTCACAGAGATCCTCTTGCCTCTGCCTCCTGAATGTTGGGCCAGCACTGCCCAGCCAGTTTTTGTATGTTTTAATTATAAAAGTGAATGCAGAGGGCTAGGGTAGAGTGCCTGCCTGTTATACCTTGAGTTTATTCCCAAGCCTCACAAAAACTAAGGTATAGCTAGGTGTAGTGGCATACATCTTTAATACTAGCAGGCAGAAGTAGGTGGTTCTCTGTCAGTTTGGGGCCAGCCTGGTCTATATAGTGAGTTCCAAGAAGCCAAAGCTTCATAATAAGACCCTGTCTCAAACAAACAAAACAACAACAACAAAACAATGAAAAAAACCAAGAGATGTGTGTGGTGGTATAGGTACACACTTGTAATCCCAGAAGGATCAAGAATGCAAGGTTAGCATTCTGTTTAAGGCCAGCCTGGATTATGTGAGACCATATATTAAAAAGAAAAAAAGTGAGGGCTGGGGATGAGCTCAGTGGTAAAGCCCTAGCCTCCATGTTCAAGGCTCTGGGTACATGTACAAATAAATACAGAAGTAAGTAAAGGAATAGGAATTGAGTGTATGTATATAGCTCAGCAGCTGAGGGCCTACCTAGTATATACTAGACCCTGATTCAGTACTCAGTGAAACAAAAATGAGTGAAGTAACAAAGTATTTTAAAAGGCTTAATGTGCTATGTTCTTAATGTGCTTAATGTTCTATGGAAGTACTATGGCAGAAACTTGACACATTTTATTCAATATTGGAAGTTGTTCTAAAGTTTACTTTGAAGTTCAAAAATTTGTATCCTCTTGTTGAAGTTCTTTACATAAACTTAGAGACATGTTTTATTTCTTTGTACCAATTGGTCATAAGGAGTTTGCAAAGAGGATGATTTTAGTGTGTCTTGACTTATAGGAATGGAGGCTTGTCCCATTAAGTCTTACCTCACGCTACAGTGAGTAAAAGGTAGAGCCTCAACCAGACTCAAACCCCAGACTACCTTCCTCCATGCTGTTTTGTGCTCAGGCAGAGATTCGCACACCTATACCTTTTTGGTTTCTGTAACCAACTTGTAAAAATAAAGACTCACTCTACTCTGATCCCTCAGCTCAACAGCTTTGTATACTACTGTCTGGACTGAAGAAGTATGGCTATTTATGCTGGAATTGCTTCAGATGAAATAGGAGGTTGTTCTAAAATGCAGTATTAATCTGGGTATGGTGGCACATACCTATAATCCCAGTCCTTGAGACAGAGAAGCAAAAGATCAGGAGCTCCAGGCCTACCTTGGCTACATAAGGTAGTCAAAGTCAGTCTGAATTACACAAGAGCCTGTATCAAAGAGTCATCAGATCCCCTGGAACAGGAGTTATAGATGGTTGTGATCTGTCATATGGTTGCTGGGAGCTGAACCGGGTCCTTAGTAAGTGTAGCCAGTGCTCTTAACCACTGAGCCATCTCTTCAGCTCCAAAAGTTTACTTTAAGTGAGTCATAATTCAGAATATTACCTGTTTTTAATACACTTTCCAAACGTACTCCAGGCCTATATTTGATCTCTCTAACACCATAGATAATACTAATAATATTATATATTATGAAGTACAATATTTTAATTTGACACACACATATATATTATATATAAAATGTTGCAGTAAATAAAAAATGAGTGTTAGGCTATATAAAGTTTATTATTAACCCTATTATTATTACGGTGGTAGTATTTAACCCACTATCACAAATAATAAGACACAGACACCTGTTAAATTTTATAATTGCTTTATTGTTGGGCTGGGCAGGTATTTTTACCTACACTGTATCGTAACCTCACCATCCATCTCCCAGCCCCCATCCAGTGCCATCTGCCTTAATCATCTGGACTACCTTCTATCCATAATCCCAAGATACTTGCTTGTATTCTTCATCTGGGCCTTTTCACGCTGGAGTCCTTCCTCCCGGCCCACATGGTTTCTTCACAATAACCCATTGTGGCATCCTCCTTCCTCCTCTCTTTCCTCTAGTTTCTTTCCTATGATTCTCCTGTCCTCCAAAGCCTGGGAACCTTAACCGCACCTAACCCGTTCTGCCCTGCCCAGGTATAGGCCTTTAATCAACTAATCAGGTATGTCTTAGGCAGGTTTACAAGACAAGGATAGGTGTATCTGGGCAGTAATCAGATCTTGAGTACCTGTAATTAGCATCAAAATAAGCATCAGAACAAACACGAACAATGAAATTTTTAATACTATCGTAGTTTAAATGAGAATATGCCCCATAGGCTCATGTGTTTGAATACTTGCTGCTCAGTTGGTAGAACTGTTTCGGATTAGGATGTGTGGCCTTGTTGGAGGAGGTGTGTCATTGGGGGTAGGATTTGAGTTTTCAAGAGCGCATGTCATTCCTAGTAAGCGTTCTCTGCTTTTTAAAAAAAGTATTTTTTAAGATGTATTTATTTGGTGACTAGAGATGGTTCAGTGGTTATGAGCACTAGCTGTTCTTCCAGGGGACCTGGGTTTAATTCCCAGTACCCACATGGAAGCTCACAACTGTCTGTAACTCCAGTTCCAGGGGATCTGACACCCTTGCATAGGAAAACATCACACATGTAAGCAAACATCAATGCAAATTAAAAAATCATTATTAAAAAAAGGTGTATTTATTTATTATGTAAACAGTATTCTGCCTGCATGTTTGCCTACAGGTCAGAATTGGGCACCAGATCCCATAGATGGTTGTGATCCACCATGTGGGTGCTAGGATTTGAACTCGTCCTCTGCAAGAGCAGCCAGTACTCTTAACCTTTGAGCCATCTCTCCAGCTCTAAGATATTTTTTTTTAAAGTGTGTGTGTGTGTGTGTGTGTGTGTGTGTGTGTGTGTGTGTGTGTG